GTTGTCATGTAACTTAGAAACAGAGCTAGAAAATGCCCCAATGTCCTGGTACATCAGAATTACAAGACTTTCTCCATCTGGGTACTAGATGTCACTAGTAGACAAAGCAGTGAGCTTTTTATGTATCTAAATTTCCAATCTTATGTCTGCTTAAAATGGTGCTTTTACCTTGATGAGACAGAAAATTTTAAAAATAGCCCTTCAGAGTACAGCAATATGGGAGTTAGAACCTTTTCAAGAAAGTCAGTTACCTGCTATTTCATTTTGCTTAGGTGCATACCACAATTAAGAGTCTAGATACTAATATAATGTCCCTACCACCTTACATCATTAATTAGCAAAGAGGAAAAGTAAATGGCCAAATGCCCATAGCCATGAGGCTATTTCTGTTGGAGCTCTGGAAGGTGTGTGGCTCATTGCCTCCAACTCCCTGTCTGCCTGTTTCTTGATCCAATTCCGGCCTCTTCTGGATGCTTCAACAAGACACTGTATCAGATTAATTGTTTTTCATGCGTGAAAGCACAGCCTCTAGCATGAGCAATGCCTTCTGTGTGCTCTCCAGCACATTCCTGGCTTGAAGCTGATTACTCAGGCAGAGGATGGTCAGCAGGCTCAGAGCCTATAGAAGGGGAGAACATTTGAAAAATGAGTATCTGACAGCTCCAAGTCTAGAGGCTCACGCTAGTGGGGATTAAATGCAGTGGTGGATGGTTTCCCAAGGAGAGACCCCCCAGCTGCACCAGCTCTACCCCAAGAAGAGAATCCCCCAGCTCCACCAACTCCAGCCCACTGAGAACCCCCCCCCCCGAAACTCCACCAACCCTACCCCAAGGAGAGACCCTGCCCCGCCCTGTCTTGAGCTGTACCGACTCCACCCTTGCAGGCAGCCTTCCTGTTAGCTTCATATCCCAGATGCCTGGTTTTCCCTTTTCAAACTGGAGGTGTTCTATCAAATAAGGGCTCCTGATGCTGTCTGCTACTGTTACTGGGGTTCTTAATCTTATGCCTGTAAAGTTTCACACACACACATACACACACAAAAAAAAAAGAAAGAAAGGAAGGAAGGAAGGAAGGAAGGAAGGAAGGAAGAAAGGAAGGAAGGAAAGAAACCCTGAACCATGTAAATTTTCATGGATGAAACAGGACAAAACTGAGAGCCAGATAGGTCCATGCATGGTGAACAACAGCAGATTGCAGAGTCACACTCTGAGGTGTTGGGAGAAGGAACCATGGCCTGTATATCCTTAGAGCCTTGCTCAGAATCACCCTGGGAAATATAATTTGCAAAGCTGGTAACAGGGAGAGACAGAACTCTCCTACCGCAGCCTCCCTCTCCTCACTGTTAGCTAGGGATCCGGAAGGATAGACCGCCCCCCCCCATACACACACACAACCTCATTAGTTTGTCTTCATGTGTTTCCACCGGTCACAACGGTCTCAACTCAAACGCATTCACATTGCCTTGCTGTCATGGTATGATGTCTTAGTAAGTTACGAGAGGTATGAATAATGAGAGTTTTCAGCGTCTGCACTTGCTTGGGTAAGGTAATGGCTTGAAAGGCAGTTGTGAATGGGCTGATGCTACAGACATGCTCCTGGATAAATGAGAGCAAACAATTATATTTCCCCTTGTCAGCGCATAAACCTCCACCTCTCTCACATTGGCAGCTAAATTCTGTCCCACACTGCATCAGGTCTTCCAAGTCCAAGCTCAGGGGCCTTCAGAACATCTCCTTCATTTGCGGGTTTTTTGCTGCTGTCATAGCCAATGGCTATCCTTCCGAGTGAGCATCTCCTCTGCCTGAAAACATCGTTTCTTCTAGTTTCTATTCTGGAACGTTCCACTTAATTATACCATGGCAAAATATTATTTTTTATTTTTATTTATTTTTAGTAAAAATCTCCAAGCAGGCTTCCCCTGCTGCTTCACCCTGGCTCTCATAAGCCCCATTCTTCTAGGACCTACTCACATGTGTACTGTCCTAGCTATTCCCTTAGACATGAAGTATCTTATTGTCCCTGAATCCCAGTCCCTGCCACATATCCTGGCGCATAGAAGATGCTCCTAGTTTTCAAATAAGGAGAGAAACAACCCGTGCTCCCACAATGTTGGGTTCTCCAAATTTTTTCATTCGCATCATCAGCAATGGTCCTAAGCTATAAGTGCCGGTGCTTGCTTACTGAACCAGGGTCTCCTGATGTGGTCCGTGGGAAAGAATCAGGCCAGTTGGTGGGATCTCAGCAAGACAGACTGTGGTAAATTTCTTTCAAGCCATCAGACATTTTATAGACTTATCAAAGCAGAAAATAATGGCAGTTGCCGAGGAATAATGATGGTTGCAAGCTAGACAGGGTATGTGAGATTAATGTCTAACACTAATTGTTCAGCCAAGTTCTACAAACTTTGCTGAACTCTAAGGAACACAGGGAGACACACAGGTGGCCTTTGTGTTTCACATACAGGTTGTTGGGAACTGATAGGCACACAAACACCCCAGGCTCAAACCTTAAAAAATTCTGTAGCTCTCAAGGCAGCCAAACCAGGCCAACTCCACGATTCCCTGCTGCACAGTTCCTAGTTTTCTCCTATTTTCTTTTCCTGGAATGACAGACAACCTGAGCAATTGGTTCCAATGAGCTGTCTGAATGTCCATGTGTCATGTAGAAGTCTCTTCCAAATTGAAACAGTCTCTCCTGGAGGGAAGCTCATTAAAATTCTGGAAGTAGAATTTACAAGTCCTGATAAGTAACCAACTCACAAGTCTCAAAAGTCCTGAAATCTATAAGAATCAAAAGTTCTCCCTCTGACCCCGACTCCCCGGCTTTTCTAGGTACTAAGGACTGCTAGGGAGAGGTTACTCTCTATTCTGTCAAGTTGCCTGAAAGCTTTTTTGGTAATGTTACATGTCTTGTAATTAACCCCCCAAAAACTTGTGGGCTCACCAAGTTAGAGCCTCATGGAATTGTCTCTTTGGTCTGTCATCAGTGCATTGTCTGGGGTGAGACATTTCCTTGCACCCCCCCACCCCCACCCTGGAGAAGTCCACAACACCATGTTCCTCCAAGTCATGGGTTCCAGTTGGGCTTCTTTGCTTTGTGATTTAATACTTATAAGAAATTCACGGTGATTTTCTAACTATGGTGTGATTACAGAGAGCTATATCTGCTTTGTGTTCACACTTACAGATGTGCCACTTGCTTGGATTCTATTGCAAACTTTGCAGGTTTTACACTGTCTTCCCTTATCAGGATGTGAAGACTCACTTCTAGCTAATAGTAAGAGAAAACATCTAAAAAAAAATACTTTCATTTAAAAACAACTTTGTCCAAAATATGTGATACCCAAATTAGCTTTTAATTTTTTTTTCAGTTACCAGACTTCCAAACTCAATGAATAAAAAGTGTTGACATTATGCAAGATGGTTATCTGCTTTCCTTGTTAGGAAACAGCTTTTCCAATACTCTGGAGTGTTTTCATAATCTCACCAAGATAATGCAAATTATAACATTTTCATGTCTCGGTTTCTTTTTATGATTTGTAAAAATGCAATAATAGAGATTAGATTTAAAAACGAGAAGTAGTTTCTCAAAATTCATTCAGCTGCAGCTCATTTTCCCATCTGATTGGGAAGGTTTCTTTCTGACTGAAGAGATTACAATGTGGCAGCCTAATACTTTCTGTCCTAGAATTATGGTTGATTTTTAAGCCACAAATTTACAAAAGAAAAGCTGTGGCCAAAACAGTAACGAAAGAATGTTAACCTAATGAAATCTGTAGATGCAATAATGTAAGCATCCGCATGGCTCTGAGTTTCACTCGGGGCATATCATAGAATAGTATTTGCATATCTATCATGTGCAGACTGAGAAGACATGTAGGGCAAATGTGTTCACTATTTGCATATAGTTTTCCGGACTGGAAACATGACGAACTTTTATATTTTCATTTCCCAAACGTCCATGTATTAAGAAACAATGCTGAAGACATCTCTCTCCCACAACTGTGGGCATCTTTCACTCCTTGGTAACCTATTAAGCATGAATCTGGTAGCATCTGTGAAATTTTGTTCTGAGCAACAGGGCTTGCTAGTTCATTAATTCTTCGGGTTGTCTGTCATTCCAGGGCAAGCACTGTTTCTCTATTAGAGTTTGCCACAGATGCCGGCTGTTTACTCATCAGTTGGATGGTACTGCTTGATTGCGTTGGTGATTTCCAGCTGGGAAGATAACGGAGCGAAAGCTCTGGCTTAATCCGCAGGATGAAGGACTAGGCGGAGACAGAAAGAAAAGCGGCAAGCCAAGAAGTTGGGCAGAAAGGGGACTCAATCTATCATATTCATATCCAAAGTTGGTATCTTTCCAGCTGTTATCAACTTAATAAATTGTTTTTGTTTTTCGGTTCATGTTCACATTCTCCATGAATCCACATATGATGATGGATGGATGAGCATAGCAATGGCGCTGTGCACGGAGGGACCTCTGACAGTCCTGCCATCGCTTGCCTCCTTCCTGATCCCTGAAACCAAGACCTGCTTAAGTTCTCCCCAGTGGGAATCATTGCCTGTGTTTATGACTTCATCAGCCCACAACAGTCACAGTGGGAACCTGTCCATTCTACTACTTCCTCAGGCACCCCGTAATTCAGGAACCTCTTGTATATTCAAGCTAATTCAGATTTTAATGTATGTCTTCAAAGTCATGTTAAAACATTTAAGTGGAAAAAAGAGTGAGGAAAGTTATTATTAATCATGACTTCTGATTAGATCATGAGTGGTAACACAAAATCCTAACCCTTCCAAAGGAGCCACGATTAAGGTTACTTTTGAGAAAACTTGAAATAGTGTTAAACTCACATACATTTCTGTTACTCCAGAGGCTCAGATTGTAAACCACTGTGTATTTGGGAAGCAATTCCTGAAGTAAATGGCAACGCTGGGGAATTTCTTTAAATTTTTAATTTTTTATTAATGTCATTATTTATTCTTTGACATCTTCATATATGTATGCAATGCATTTTGATCACACATACACACACACACACACACACACACACCTTCCTTCAACTCTTTTCAGGATGGTAGTGCTTCCTTGGCCTTTGGCTTTCATTGAGGTTAAGTGCACCAACAGAGACCTGAAGGAAGGGCAAATGACAGTGGAAGCATCTAGGTTCCCTTCTCATCTTGCAGGATTGTTGAGTGGCAGCTTCTAAAATATTCACAGAATTAAGATTCATCAGAAGGACTTGAAGTCACTGGGGTAAGAAATGAGAGTTTCTCCTAAGATACAGTGGACAAAAAAAGAGAAGTTTCTAGCTTGTAGCCTATTCAGTGCTGCTCATGCTTGTGAGGGCTAAAGCCATTCACAGAGTGACCAGCGCCAAAGTCATCCACAGAGTGACCAGAGCTAAAGCCGTCCACACAGTGACCAGAGCTAAAGCCATTCACAGAATGACCAGAGCTAAAGCTGTCCACAGAGTGACCAGAGCTAAAGCCATCCACAGAGTGACCAGTATCAAAGCCATTCACAGAGTGACCAGTGCCAAAGCCATCCACAGAGTGACCAGAGCTAAAGCCGTCCACACAGTGACCAGAGCTAAAGCCATTCAC